ACCTTGATGCTGCTGCTCAAGCTTTCTTACTTTTGCTACTTGTACTGAAAAATAAACAAACAACTGGGATCAGTTTGAGCATTTTTAATGTATTCATTCTAAAGACTAAGTTTCAGTAATGAATCCAGGTGTTTGTTTTTTCTCTAATAATTACCTTGGTACTGTTCTTTCAGCAACTCAATTTCTTTTTTCCTAACTGTTTGCAGAAGTAAAATGAAAAACATTGAAATATGATGCCATTTAAGAATAAACAATTGACTAAGAAAGTATTTTTTACAGCTTGTTTTTTTTTTTTTTTTTCAGGTTAACATACCTTCATTATCTCTCTGTAAGTACTCCATGCCAACCTTGAGTCCACCCAAAGAGGCGCTCATCTCTCTCAGCACAGCATTGATGTCCTGTGTACATCTTTGTTGGGGGTCAGAGAGACTTCCTGTTTTACTTTTCTGTGATTCAGTTTGCCTTGAATGTGAAATGATTTCATTCTCTGAGTCTGACCGATTCAGAGCTGCAGAAAAAGAGATTAGAATAAACAATTGTAAAGTCATTATTGTCTCCATTATCAGCATTGTTTTCTTTAGGTCCCCCATATTTTTGGTTACCCCATTCATTCATCAATTCATCCATCTTCTTCCGTTCATCCGGCATGGGGTCGCAGGGGTAGCGCTGGATGGGAATTTTGGTTACTGTGTTGATCCAACCCTTAAATACTCTCAAAGTAACTATTTTATAGGCATTATAAAAAAAAGAAACAAAAAACATCATAACCTCCATTCTCACTATCTATGAGTCGGCCCCTTTTATAGTTTTCCATTTACAGACACGTGAAGGTGATAAGGCTTCATTTATTTGACTTGTTATATGACATCAAAACACAGTTATTTAGAGATGAAGTCTACGCAATTGCTTGTTCATAAATTACATTCTTACTGTGCTGCCAACATACCGAAAAGCCTGTATCATCATGCTGATTTATACAGTTTTGAGGCATAACTCCAAGAAATAACTTTGTTTTTAAAGGTCTTCAAGTTTTGAATTGGCACAAAAGTGTTCTCTTATTTAATTCTGTAGTCCACTGACCAAACGATCTAACCTGTGCTCAGCAGTGCTCTGGCCTGTATAAATCTGCTGAATTATATAAAGTTGTTTGTATTTTTTGGTTTTCTGTATTATGGTTTTACTTTTGTAGTCTTTGAACCTCCAGCATTCTTAGAAGACGAGTGCGTCTAAGAATAGTCTGTGAAAGGGGAGATGGGCGATGATTTGAAGTTCGGCTTCTGCGCTGAAGGGGAAGCTAGGGCTTTGTCTTAATGAAGAAGGCCTTGAATGACAATTGGCTTCTGATGGGTGAAGTCTATCACCAATTGGTTGAAGCTTGAGCAAGGCATGTCAGGCGGTCCTGGCCACATTGACATCTCGCTTAAGCTTAATGTTTAAAAGATGGATCTTTAAAAGAGAATTATTTTGTTTCATTACAAAAAGGGAATTAAAATGTTGGAAAATTATTATTCCAAGTTATCCTGAAACTGTCTTCATGGTGGCCAGTAAAAAATATATCTCAGGGACCTCCATTTCATCTATGATTATATTAAAAGAAGAAAATGGGTCAATTCAAATCTGTTTAAATGTCCCTGCAATTGTTCCTTAGATAGATTTTAAAACATTATAACAAGCTTTTAAAACACTGCTTTTACACTGTATTCACTTTACAGGTACTAGTTGGGTATAACTTGTCTAGACCCTTTAGCTTGCGTTTGGCAATCTATGTATTATCCAAAGAAGGATTATAAAATTATAGTGTCCTTAACCTGATCATGATTAACTTTAAGTTAATTATAAGAGGTAGGTGTTAATCAGTCCTGAGAACATAATAATTTTGTTGAAATGTAACATGGATAAGGTTAGAAACCAAGGACTTTTTGCCAACTCATGAAAATTGTTTTTATTTAAAATATAGCTTCTATGAAAATGACTGTGCATGTTTAACTGATCATAATAAACTTTCAATGAGCAAACAGATGAGTGATAAAGACAATTTCTCTTTGTGCTTCCTCAATAACAGTAGTATAAAGTTCTCATTTAGTTCAGGACTTATAAACCAACACTTACCAGATTACAGAATCACACATCAGATAAATTAAAGGGTAGTGTCCTAGAAACTAACACGTGAGGAACACGTACTTTGAAAGAACTGCTGCTCTGCAAAGTTATGTGAAGGTAGGTCACTTTTTGCTTTTATCAATCTTCTGATGAAAAAAAGGGGCAATATATAATAATAAAATTTAAAATATTGCATACAAAAAACTGCTTAACATCAAATTTTCTATAATTTAAGGAATAAAGAAAAACAAACTTTTTTTTTTGCCTCAGGCGTGACAATAGTTTTGTGACTTCTCCCATAGTGCTGAAAGAATAAAAAGTATCAATAAAATTCCCAAATATATAAAAAAGAACAATTATGCTGCATCTGTTCAATTAACTCAAATGTAAAAAATAAACATAATTACACATAACCAAACATTCATATTAGGAAAGGCAACTACAACAGCATCACCGGGGCAATGCAGGATTTGTCCTACTTGCATTAAGAAAACGATACAGGATTATTTTATCAGAAACAAATAGACTTAAGAAGAGTGTCTTTCCCAAAGCAGTGAGGGCAATCATTCCCCTGCAGGCAAACAATAAAAAAAAAAACGTTTAAAATGGACAAAACCTCTAGACCAGGGGTGGGCCATTCCACATCCTGAGGGCCGGTATCCTGCAACTTTTAGATGTGCCTTTAGTTCAACACACCTGAATCAAGTAATTATATGATTGAGAGGACTGGAGGAACCGACTGTATACTGAGGAGAAAACTCAGCTATTTGATTCAGTTTTGTTTGACCAAGGATCAATCTAAAAGCTGCAGGATACAGACCCTCGGGAACTGGAATTTTCCACCCGTGCTCTTGACCATTTCATAGACTGTTTATCCTGTAAGGATGCTTCTTCTTCATATTTTTCTAACATTTATTTAACTTATATCAGTAGATTTTTTAGCCAGGAGCTCCGAAAACTTACATTATGGCGAAATATTAACAATAAATACTCTTGATTCTGCTAGGTAGCAGAAGGCAGCAGGATCAAGCAGCAGCATTTGGTAGTGGCACCTCCAGCGGCAGCTGGATCTAATTTGTTCCACTTCTAGTGAACTTTCACAGGCATGCGACTGACACGAGGTTTCACTAAGCCAGTAGCCATGTGCCGCAATTCTACTGCTGTTTTTGAGCAAAAAGGTTTGAGCTTGGGGTTATGAGAAAAGTTCTTTCCAAATAAGTTTGATTGACTAATTCAGCCACTTTTTCCTACTCTGCTTTTGTTTCCATTACATTTTACAAAGTAATTTTACTTACATGAAATGACTTTATAATCTAAATTGATTGCTATGCTAAAAGTAGGACGTTGTGGAATAAAAGTCACAATTAACTATAGATCTGAATATGAACTATGGCATAGAAACTTAAACTATGGCATATACCTTCAGAAACTGGACAGGGATTAGATTTGTTATATAATACTTTGAATCGATCCCTGTATCTATTTTGAATTATGTCTTGAAACAGCATTTGTTGTGAACTAAATATATATAAATCAGCGGATATAAATTGGACATAGTACTGCTGAACACAATTTGAATCTCTTGAGCAGTAGACAAGAGAATCAAAGAAGAGAAGACTTTTGTAACAAGACTAACCTAAATGCCTTTAAACAGAGATTATTTTAAAAGTTATTTCTCATAGTGATGCTTCAAACCTATATACATCAGTAACAGACAGATTTTATTGAAGTAAGCAATCAACATAATAAGAATGTGTTTTATTAAAAACACATCTGAAAACTGTGTTAAAAGAAGCCTAATCAGGATAGTGAGTACGGAGATTATGATGCTCTTTCTTCAACTACACGTGAGTCTGCCCATAAAATTGTTTCCATGATAAAGGATTTGGCCTTTGGACAGAACAAGCCCAACTCATCAAGTCTGAAACCATCGGACATACATTTGTAGTGTTTGTACTGGCTTGAGAAAAAACAACAACATTTTGTTAATTATTAATCAACCGTTTAAAGTATTTAAGACTAACTTTGACAGTATTTAAGGGTTGGATCAACACAGAAACAAAAATTGCAGGGGACTTGAAGAAAACAATGCTGAGAATGAAGACAATGATGACTTTCCAATTGTTTCTTCTAATCTGTTCTTTTTCCACAGCTCTGCTACAGTCAGACTCAGAGGATGAAATCCTTTCACATTTAAAGCAAACTGAATCCCGGACAGAAGACACAGGAAGTCTCTCTGACCCCCAACAAAGATGTACACAGGACATCTGTGCTGCTCTGAGAAAGATGAGTGCCTCTTTGGGTGGACTAAAGGTTAGCGTGGAGTACTTACAGAGGGATAATGAAGGTATGTTAATTAAGAAAACCAAAGCTTTAAAAAATCACCTCTCAGAGTCAATTGTTTATTTTTAAATAAACATTTAAACATGTTTTCTTTTACTTCTGCAAACAGCTAAGACGAAAGACATAGAGTTTTTGAACGAACAGGACCAAGGTAATTATTAGATAAAAAAGAAGCACATGATTTTTGTACTAAAACCAGCTGTATATTTTTAATGGCATCACATTTCAATGTTTTCCTTTTACTTCTGCAAACAGCTAAGACAAAAGAAATAGACTTTTTGAACGAACAGGACCAAGGTAATTATTAGATAAAAAAGAAACACATGAATTGAGTACTAAAACCTAATATTTAGTCAGCTGTATATTTTTAATGGCATCACATTTCAATGTTTTCCTTTTGCTTCTGCAAACAGCTAAGACAAAAGAAATTGAGTTACTGAAAGAACAGAACCAAGGTAAATATTAGAAAAAACACCTGATTTTATTAATAAAACTTGATATTTAGAATAAATAAAACAATGCTTAAATTAATATCAGTTGTTGTTTTTCAGAGCTAGCAGCAAAAGTAAAAAAGCTGGAGAAGTATCAAGGTATTTATCGTTTAATTTTAAGAACAATCTTATGTGTTGCTTGTACATAATAGATAATTGCCATTTTTGACATGAGTCAGTTTTGCTCAGATGTTTGTAAATAATCTTTCTTATATGCAGTCAATTCCGAGGGTAAATCTGATTACTATAGGGTAAAGTGGAAAATGAAAGACAAATACAATTTTTATTTAAGAGTGAATCCAATTTCACTTTTTGAAATTAATTTATGGCTCAATTTCCAATGTTATACTTTTTCAACTCATCCATTTAGTTATTTTTAAGATGTATTTTTCTACCTAATAGATGGTACTGGGTTGGTTGTCTTTTAAGACATTGTTTTGTTAAAACTTCTAAATGTAACATTGTTTCTAAAAATGAATAACTTTTTGATTCTGATTATAGTAACTTCATTTCTTACAGAAAAACGAGTGGCTTTCTCAGCTTCTCTGATGGCCTCAGGTTCTTCCGGATATATTGGACCATTTAACACACAGAGAACTCTAGTCTTCAGGAATGTTGTTGCTAATATTGGCAATGCCTACAACCCAAACACAGGTAAACCAACATTGTGTTGAACATTTTTATACTCTCAACAAATCTTAACATAAACCATTTCATATGTCTTTATATGATCAAATTTACAGACAAAATTATAATAGAAACATTGTGTTTCCCAGGTTTTTTCATTGCACCTGTGCGAGGAGCATATCACTTTGAGTTCTACTTACATGGACATGGACACTGGTTATATTATACAGCTGCTGTGTTGGTCAAGAATGGAACTCCTCTATTTTCTGCATGGGAACATCAGAATTTTAATTCTGTTAACCCATCAAATGGTGTCACATTGCTATTAGAGATTGGAGATGTGGTATTATTGCGTCTATTCCAAAATTCAGCAGTTTTTGACAATCAAAATCGTCATACGACCTTTAGTGGTCATTTACTGTTTCCTATGTGATCGTGTGGTGTGGAGGCTGCAGCGCCTCAGACTGGAAGGAAATGAGAAGAGTGGGGAGAACAGCAGAGATGATCATCGGGGCTCCCATCCCCTCGATTAAAGAAATGTTATCCCAGCGCTGCATGTCCCGAGCCCCTAACATCATCAATGACCCCTCACACCCCCACCATTGACTTTTCTCCATGCTGCCCTCTGGGAAGAGG